CAAAAACATTTATTCTCCTGATCGGATAATCAAATGGTCGACGATTAATGTAACCAAACCATCTAAGATGACTCTCTTTAATCTTGTCTGCCATTGGAGCTACACCAACCCTTTCAAGGATATATTCGTTTCGTATTTTGTCTTTAAGTGTAAAGTCACTCATCCACCTAAGCATTGTCATCTCAACAACACTTAGTTATATACTTCTCTTTTATAGGCCAATATTTTGTGCCATAAAGCATTGCAAGTCTCACTAACATCTTATAAAATTTTCCTTCATGTCTAATTGGTACTTTTCTATCACACAATAGGCCCAATGCATTCCTCCACTTCAGCCATCCTAACTTGAATTCTACTAATATCATCCCCATCTATATCACCATTAATTTGAACTACATACCCGAGATATCTAAAACGTTCACTCCTTTTAATGATTTGATCGCCCATTATTACAACTCTGTTACTAGATCTACTAGAACTAAAATTACATTCAAAGTATTCAGTTTTAGATCTACTCAAACGAAGGTCTTTGGACTCTAAAGTAAACCTCCATAATTCAAATTTTTCCTGGACGCTTTCTTAATGGGTTTACTTTCTCTCCCCACACACACACACACACACACACACACACACACACACACACACACACACACACACACACACACACACACACACACACACACACACACACACACACAAAATTGGTTTTAATATTCTTTTACTTCTTGGTCCTTTGATTTACAAACTCAAAAAAAAGCTTAAATAAAAAGTTTAAATGCATGCATATTTCATCGAATTTATTAACCATATATGTCTTAAGAAACTTGAAATTTAATACTCCAAGTCTCTAACTATCCAATCAAATCCCAACGAACAAGACTCATTACAATTAATCCGTAAGCCATTTGTCCTTTTTTTTTTCAAAGACATTGCTTCTCCACATGATAAACACGACATAGTTGTATGGTCCATCTATTATAACAAAAAAAAAGGACTTATTGGACATAATAAATTCATAAGACCATATTTTCTTGCCAGGCAAAATGATGGAGAAGTTCTTCGGGTTGGAGCTTTTGGAACATGGTGGTTGTGTTTGGAAAAGACTGTCGCTCAGTTGAAAGGCCAGTTCTAAAAGTTCTACAATTGTCTTTGAAGGATTTTGATTTGCTTCAATCATGGCAGAGATAAGTGGCTTGATGTTTATCATGTTCCAATCCTCTTGTTCAAGCAGTGGGACACAGCAGCCTGCTTTTAAATAGAAATGCATTGGACGATAATTTTGAAAGTTACACGCATAGGGGAATTACACTAAAGATAAAGGTGGGTTTTACCTTATGACTACCTATGCAAGCAAAATATTATGTTACTTTGTCATTGCTTTATCCTGAATTTTTAGTGGCACTTAAATTTCAATCAGTTGACTATTACTTTCTATTTTTTATATAAAGTTGGGAGGATTTATGATAATAAAAGGAGTTGAAAGCAGGTAAAAATAAATAAATAAATTATTTTCTAAAAAGGCAGGTTGTGTTCGATGACATATAGCCTTCTTGTTTAAAGGGAGCTTGAAGCTTTTTGAGAGAAGTTATCTATATGTACAAGTGGTACTGCTCATTTGATAATATATTTTCGTTAAAAATTTCTAATTATTCATTTGGAATGTATGTGTAATCGATTATTGTCAAATTTTTCACAACTAATTTTCTTTTCCTTTTTATCATGATTTCCAATAGAAAGAACGATTTCATGTTTCCAATTTCTTGCAAGTTCATTCTCTAAGATGATTATCAAATTACTATTTACAAACATTACTTCATATTTTAGATTTCATCTAAAGTAAAAAAAAAAAAAAGTTTGTCAAAATTAAAAAAAAAAAAGTGATCCACAAAATCATGCGTTTGCAATAGTTTTTATATTTTATTGTAGTTCTATAACAGCAAACCCTAGATATGATAGAATTGACTAATGCTAGGCTTTGCACTTTGTTCAAAAATTATACCAAAACTAGGGAGGTTACTCTACAATTACCATAATATGTTGCATTACAAAGATGTAATGGATTTACTTTCCAACAACAAGCTTTTATCACACTAAGCCAGGTCCGCTACATGAAACATTTTTTCCATTGTGTCGTCTTATTGAGTGTCATATTTTCATTTAATTCTAACAAATTAAGATCATTTTTTATACAATGTGCCCAGGTCATTTTAGGTTTACCTCTACCTTTCTTAACATAAATCGAATCAAAAACATTTATTCTCCTGATCGGATAATCAAATGGTCGACGATTAATGTAACCAAACCATCTAAGATGACTATCTTTAATCTTGTCTGCCATTGGAGCTACACCAACCCTTTCAAGGATATATTCGTTTCGTATTTTGTCTTTAAGTGTAAAGTCACTCATCCACCTAAGCATTGTCATCTCAACAACACTTAGTTATATACTTCTCTTTTATAGGCCAATATTTTGTGCCATAAAGCATTGCAAGTCTCACTAACATCTTATAAAATTTTCCTTCATGTCTAATTGGTACTTTTCTATCACACAATAGGCCCAATGCATTCCTCCACTTCAGCCATCCTAACTTGAATTCTACTAATATCATCCCCATCTATATCACCATTAATTTGAACTACATACCCGAGATATCTAAAACGTTCACTCCTTTTAATGATTTGATCGCCCATTATTACAACTCTGTTACTAGATCTACTAGAACTAAAATTACATTCAAAGTATTCAGTTTTAGATCTACTCAAACGAAGGTCTTTGGACTCTAAAGTAAACCTCCATAATTCAAATTTTTCCTGGACGCTTTCTTAATGGGTTTACTTTCTCTCCCCACACACACACACACACACACACACACACACAGATATATATATATATATGTCTTTGGACTCTAAAGTAGACCTCCATAATTCAAGTTTTTCCAAAAAATCGATTTAAGAATAATAGAATAGAAATAAAGCAAGTGTACTCTAAAATTGAATTGCATACATATCAAATATTACTAGGTTGCTCATATATTCTATGGATAAGATGTTTAACTTAAAAAAAATCGATATATGTCAAATACATGGCATTTTGAACTTGAAATTTTAAGCTAGTTTTCATATAAGAGTTTATTTGATCAGCTGCATTGGTAGAGTATTGCATTCCATTTTCTAAAATTTATTTTATAAGGCGTATTGTTTGAAGCGATATATAAATATAATATAATTAAAATTTGAAGAATTTACAATACACAAAATATTTATTTTTCTTGCATTTTAAAATTACCCAAATTAGGCAATTTCCCATCATCATGATGTGCCCACTTATGATTCCCACCTGCTACCCACCCTCCTTTAACGGCTTGCGTTGCTCGCCCTTATCCCCTTGCATTGCTTGCATTTTAAGGCAATGAAAATGCATAGTAATAAGCATAAAAAATATTTTAATACATTTGATAGGCATCCAACTAAACAACTCTTGCATTTCTAAAATATATCCATTCCAGATTTGCATTAAAATGCGTATTTTAAGAGCATCAAATCTAACAATCCCAAAATCTAAATCTGGGTTTAGATGCACAAGTCAAGGTACCACAATAAAATTGAAATTTATAGGGTTAAAGTAAGAATGCAGTCTCTCTAAGAAAAGAAAAATAAGATTGACTACTACAACTCTCACCAGTCTCAAAACTGATCTAGAATCTAATCATTGAGAATACCTCCTAGAGTAAAAAAAGGTCAATGTATTTTAATTTTAATTAAATTAGACACAAACTTCAAATGATATAATCCATGCTCTGCAGGAGAAAGCTTCATTTCCAATTAATGTATGCATATTATGTAATCTGTATCTCAGCTCCCATTTTGTTGCGATTGGTGGAAGCAAGGCCTCCACCCATTCCTTCTATTAACTCCTTCATCTTTAGTGTTTCCCCTTCCTTCATCTTTTATCCTTCCTCCTATATTTTCGTTCACTCTCTTTTTCCCCCACAACTAAATCTCATTTCCTTTTAACCCATTTAGGATGAATGAAATAAAGATTTACGCTGTCTTCTATCCTCTCTTTTGTAAATATTTCCATCATTTACAACAAAAAAAATACTACTCGCAGCCATTGCTTGTTGTCAACCGCTCAAAGTCAACCTTACTTATCCACCGTAATATATTGCATACACTCTCTTTCTCTATCCTTCCCCTTTTTCAACCAAATAGATTAGAAAGTTTAAGTTCCCAATGTTCAGTTGTGCAGTGTTTCTCTCTCCCTATGTATCTTTCTAACAATATTTCTGCACAGTATTTTTTGCATCCCTCTAAGTGGGAGCATTATGAGTGTTTTCAATTACTGAATACATGATATTTCAATAAGCCTGGAGCATAGATAAAATGGAATACAACAATTAGACAGCTTAAAATGGCCAACATTCATTTCATGGTCTCCTTCCGAGCTAAGGGGGATGTGTACTTCCGATTTCAAGTAATGTTGAAGGGAACCAAATTAAGGTGATTGTAAGACCCTAGGTAATAGCTCATGGAGCTCAAGAATAAGGGAGATGATTAACATGAAAATCTGCAACCAAAAAATTAATTCATATTAATGACTCGAGATGAATTATCTCATCCCAGGTTATTTAGGTTGTTTGATAATAATTTCATTCAGTGTTCCAGCTTAGAAGAGGATCACATCGCTACATGCAGAAAAACAAATTAATCATTTGAAGGCTATAAAGATCTGATCATATATCGTATCAAGGAACATTAAAAAATTCTAAATGGATCATTTCAAAGTTTTTGCAAAATATTTTCCCATATATGTAATGAAGTAAATTACATGGCACGAAATCAAACACAGCATTCTAAAGAAATTGTGGTAACAGCAGCATTAGATTGACAACCCAATCACAAACATATCCAAAAAGTATAAAAACATTTACACTGAACCAATAAACAAGAGACACTTTTTTAGTTACGCATTCAGTAATTGAAATTTTGCTATAGTTTACCTCCAAGCAATCAATAACTGCCAACTGATGTTCCTCTGCAATGTTTGGGTTTATTTTAATAAGCCGACCGAGAGCATCAATTCCCATATATTTGAGATTATGACTATCACTCTGCCAAAACAGAAACTCAGATATCTAAATGCTATAATAAAATCACAGAAAAAAAACATAAAGAAAATAGAAGGTTGGTTTGAATTTGACAAGCAAACAGGTAATAAAATTCATGGCAAATTCGAACAAACCAACCTTCAAAAATTTTGAAGTTGCTTCAATAGCAGCATCCAGTAACTTTGTATTTGGATGGATGGATGAAATACAGCAAATGCATTCATACAGCACAGCGTTTCCAATGTTGCTTGATGTTTCAATCTTCCTAATTATGTCACCAAGTACAGTGTACATGTGTCCACTAGCTTGCTTATCCCCACTACCAAGCAACGCGAGAATTTTTAACAACTTCACCTGAGCTCAACATAAGTAACATAGAAGGGAAAAAATAATTAATTTACAATCTGATGTCTGATTAAGGGAAGGAAATGAAAAATAAATATAGAAAAAGAAAAACCATGCATATAGTATGATTTCACGTGCTAATACTGAAATTGGTTCAAAACTATTTCAGTTTTCTGATTTTTGCTGAAGTGACATATCTGATTGACATTAATCTTGAATCTGAAATTTAGTTTAACTTGTATTTCTGTCGTGAACAAAGAAAAGAAATAAAAAATTAGGCTATTTCTAACAACACTGAAGAGAAATATGAACTTGAGCGTTAAAGCCAATTTAAAATGAATGGAAGAAAAAATTTCAAACCGTGTGTGCAATTAAGGGTTTAACATCTTTGATTCAATTAAATTTATGATACAATCTAAAAATATTTTTCCACGGAAATTTGGACAAAGGAATATTTATTGCAAGGATATCAAAAAAACTCAACACGAATACATAAAATGAGCACCTACAATTCGAGAGGTAGGTAATCTCTCCCAAATCCTACAATTCTAGAGGTAATAAATCTCTCCCAAAACCTAACCTTAAGATCCAAGACAACAATCTCATGCATCCTAACCGTAAACTATTAAGCCCTATTTATAACAAGCGTGAATAAATAACAAAAGACTAAATCACCCTTAGATTAATAAAAGAAAAAATTGTCCTTAAGCACCGGCATAACAATACTCCCCTCTCAAAGAAGCACCTTACCCTCAAAGTGGATAAAAGAAAATCGCGGCTGGATCAAACTCTTCTGCCACTTCATCGCACATTATGAGAACATGTAATGTTTGATCATTGCAACGGTGTCCTAAGACAAACTTGCAATCATGCCGGAAATAAAATTTCTTTAGTCGCTTCTCCTAAATTAATCTCTGTAAGGCATTTAAATGTCAACCTCGGTCATGACCCATTATTCATATCCATACGAGCCTCCTTCCAGACATCCACTATTTTATTTTTTGGTATCAACGTAATTGTAGTATTTCAGTATGACACTCCACCCGTGCTGCTCCTATTAGCCCGTTCCACAACATTTTTTTCTTAAACTAACATCGATAATTTCATAATTTCTCCCAAGTCATGCAATCTCAAATGTATGTCTGACTTTAGACCCGTCATAAAATTTTCCCCAATACTGCTTCAGAAATCCCACTCAGTCGTCCCAACAATAGCTCGAATCTCTCTCTATATTTCATGACAATCCCGATACCAACAAATGAATATGAGTGCAATTTTCAGAAAAACAGTAATCAAGAATCACTAAGAAAATTCTGGAGGCAAATAATAAAAAAGGAATATTATTGATGTAAAGGTAGTATAAAAATACACATGATAAGACACCACCTAAGCTGCCAACACCTGAATACAACTGCAAGGAAGATATGCAGGTAGCCCAACCATCCTTAAGAAAAACTCACAATTATAAAACCCAAAATCTGCGCCTATACACAGAACAACACCTATTTATAAGCACTAAAGCCCCCCTTATTACAAGTATGACACATCAAAACAAAAAGACAAATAACAAACTACAAAACATAAACCAAGACAAATAAACTGAAATAAAACTCTAGCTCTTACATCATTCTCTCGAGGTTGACAAGGCTTCCTCATATTGAGCAATCTCAAAACCTAATTTGTAATGAGCAACCAACTCAAAGACATTGAAAGCGATGGAGTCATTCTAAACCCCAGGTAAGTCAAGTTTGGTGATCCAAGTATCTTCTAACATTGTCACTATTAAAACTGGTTCAAGGAATTTCTCGTTCCAATTCTGAAGCATCTCAATTCAATTCACATCAATATTTCATGTTCCCTTGAAGTTCTTCTATATGCGGATCTATGTGGTATAATCGAACCTGGCACCAACTCAATCGCATGTTGAACATCCCTCAAAGGAGGTAGGCTGGTGGGCATTTCAATAGGGAAAACCTCAGCATACTTTTAAATCAACTTTGATATTTCGGTTGGGACTTTAGCGTCTTGCACAGAAGCTTCGGTAAGAAGCAGTAGGTAGCCAATATCAGCTTCTTCCAGCTACTTTAGGAAAATTGAAGATGAGGAAAGCATGTTGTTGGTCTCATTCTGCACCTCCTCTTCCATAGGAACCAAGGTAATTCGAGTACCATTATCTAAGGAATACATATTTACATGCCCGTCATAAATGCTTTTGCGGTCATATTGCCAATGATGTATTACAAAGATTCTCATAATTATAAAGGAATTAAAAGGATGCACAAAAGTGTGCAAATTATAGAAGAATTAAGTTGATGTGTCATACTTTAAATTTATGAGAGAGGGTAATTGAATATAGGTAAAGGCGTATTATAAAAATTTCTCATAATCAGCTTGGATTTATGTCAGACAGGTCTACTATGGAAGCTATACATTTATTGAGAGGTTGATAAAAAACTACAGAGAGAATAAGGTGGGGTCTATATATAATTTTTATTGATTTAGAAAAAGCTTACGATAAGGTTCCAAAAGAAATCCTTTGGAGAGTTATAGAGAAGATAGTTGTTGATATGACATATTCAAGTCATTAAAGATATTTATAATCAAGATGTTACTTGTGTTCGAATAGGAGGATTGACTAAATATTTTTCAATTTTAGTTGGATTACATTAGGGATCCGCTTTAAGCTCATATGTTTTTGCTTTAGTTATGGAAGCTCTTGATAGACATATATAGGAGGATGTACCTTGGTGTCTGTTTTTCGTTGATGATATCTTGCTTGTGGATAAAACTAGAGAAAGAGCTTAGCAAAAACTTGAATTATGGAGGTCTACATTAGAGTCAAAATGCTTTCGTTTGAGTAGAACTAAAATTGAATACATGGAATGTAATTTTAGTAACAGTAGCTTTAGTGACAAAGTTGTAACTATGGAAGTTGTAACTATGGGTGATATGGGTGATCAAATCATTAAAATGTGTAAACCCTTTAGATATCTCCAGTCTATTGTTTAAAGTGATGGAGATATAAATGGGGATGTTATTAGTAGAATTCAAGTTGGTTGGTTGAAGTGGAGGATGCTTCGGGCCTATTGTGTGATAGAAAAATAACGCTTAGACTAAAAGGAAAATTTTAAAAGATGGTGGTGAGACCTGCAATGCTCTATGGAGCAGAATGTTGGCCTTTAAAAGAGGAGCATAAAACTAAGATAAGTGTTGTTGAGATGAGAAATCTTTGGTGGATGAGGGGCTTTACACTTAGAGAAAATGAGAAATGAATATATCTGTGATTGGGTTGGTGTAGACGAACAAAATTAGAGAGAGTCGACTTAAATGATTTAGTCATATTAAATGTTGATCATTTGATGATCCGATTAGGAGGGTAGATGTTTTAGATTCAACTTATGTTAAGAAAGACAATGTTAATGTTTTAGATTCAACTTATGTTAAGAAAGACAGAGGTAGACCTAAAAAGACTTGGGCATATTGTATAAAAAATGATCTTAATTTAAAAGAATTAAATGAAAATATGGCACACAATGGAGAAAAAATTTATTTTGTCGATCCCATTTAGTAGGATAAGGGCTTGTTGTTGTTGTTGTTGTATTGCCAATGAGGACCTAGAAGGAGGTGGCAAGCATCCATTAGAATCACGCCGCATAGCACTTTCTCATGAAATCTTCTTGATGGAGAATTGCACCAAAAATCGCTTTATAACTTTGATTTCATTTTCTCTTTTAAGCCATATAAGTTGACAAGGATGTGGATGAACTTGGGTCACTAGGCCGAGCTTTTCAACCATGTTAGAGGACAACACATTTTCGTGACTCCCACCGTTAATGATAAGATTACATACATACCTTGTCCTGGACGTGCACCAGGTCCTAAAAATGTTGTGTCACAACTAATCCTTATTGAAGAATTGATCAGCACTAAGCGAGCATCGCACTACAAATAATTATTTTTCATCTATATGCATTATTTGTTCCTCAACCAAATTAGTATTTTCCTCTACTAACAAATCTACTCTCTCGGGTTCTCTCTCTTCCACCAATGAAATAACACTACAAATTGGACAGTTGGCTGCTATATGACCAAATCCATGGCATTTGAAGCAACATCTATTAGCTGAATTGTTTTCAGCTTCCATAACAGGTTTTTACAAGGTAAGATTGTAGAGCGGTTGTTTCATTCCTCATTTCTATCGACCGCAACGCCCTAGCATGGCAAGATTTGTTGAAGTCGGGTCTGTTCAGCCGTTGCACCAAGCAAAGTGGAGTTTTGGCACCATTGTGGCTTCGTTCAACCTTCAAAGCAAGGTTAACAACATCCCGGAGTGACCAATAAGATTGAAGCAAAACTAAATTGGCTAAAAAAAGGTTTCAAGCCACTCAAAAAACATGCAATAATGTGCTCTTCAGGTTCAGACAGACTGCATTTCAATATGAGATGCCCAAATTCAACAGCGTATTCTTCTACTGTCGTCTCTGTTGATGTAAACGATGCAGACTGATGAAAACCTTCAGCCGAAAGAAATCCAACAAGAATTTGCATTGCAATTACTTCAAGTTACTCCACTTGGTAATCTTGGATCACCCCTCTTTGCTTCGTCATTTTCACCTTTTCCACCAAAGGGAAGTATTCTTCCTCAACTTGATAACAATAAGCTTCACAGTTTGATGACGGGGCACACTTTAAACTCGAAAATTCTTTTGACGACGTGCAGTCGATTAATAAACTAGTCTGGGTTTATTACTTCAAAATCAAGAATATCGATCTTAATTCCAAGATCAGCGGCTTTGTGTTGTCTATCCTTCCTCCATGCACGAAGGGGTTGATCATCTTCACTGAAAGAAGCTTGGTGAAAATGATTTTCATCCCCTTCTTTTTCCACTGCCTCGACATCATCTGCCACAGAACATTTCTGTGTGCTTTCTGCTCCAAGGTTGTCTCTCTTGCATATGCTACATTTCATGAAATAAATCCTCCATGAAAACTTATTGATTGGTTCTTGGCACGTTTTTGTGTGGAGGCATGATTGAGAACAGAAAAAACCACAAATGAATGCAAGAATAAAAAATTATCTGCAAATTCTAGTCAAAAAATAGGATCAAGAAGAAAACTAGCAGTTTTCTGCAGCTGGCCCCAAAGGGATCCCACGGGTGGAGAACAATGGCAAGGAGAAAGCAAGAAAATACAAAAAATATAAATGCCAATAACAAAATTCTATTATGACAGCAGAAATCTGTACTCGAATCCCAAAAACAGAAATCTTCCCTAAAAAAATTCAACAAATCTGGATAGCATAAATATGTGCTATGATACCAAAATAATAAAGGCAAAGATATGTGAGAGTGGGATTTCAACAAAACAGTAATCAAGAATCGTTGAGAACAATTATTAAGGCCAAGAACATCAAAAGAAATATTATTGAAGTAAAGAAAGAACGAAAATACACACCGAGAATCCTCCAAACATAAAACTTAAATTCATCCCACGAGCTGATCAAGTATCTTGCCTCCCTCCACTAAAACAATGCTAGGCTTTCCCCTCCAAACATAACCCTACAGCCATGAGTTTCTTTTCCCCATTTAGTCATTCAACGTGAAATATCGCTCCACCCGGTACACCCACCCATGTGTGTCTTCCCCTCAAAGATCAGCATCATCAACTTCCTAACTCTAGCATCTCCACCCCAAGTTCCTCTCCCTCTGGTGTTTCCACCATATACCTACGATAAAATTCCCTCCTTCAATCAGTCATACCCCAACCTGGCTTCTCTTATTCCTTTTTCGTACTCCATACCCCTTGCATAATCCCTTCTCCATGTTCGACCCAACCCTATCCCTCGGAAATCTCTAATCCACTCTCATCGAAGCCATAAGAAGAGGTTCTTGAAGGGGAATGTTTTTTTCCTCATGTTCATCTTGTTTTTCGATTTATCCTATGACTCTCCGATAAACTCTTGGTTAGGGTTTTGAAGTTGAATTGTCGGCGGTGTTTGAGATTGCATCTTAATATGCCTCCTCATCATCTCCTCCAAGCCTTCAAATCGGTTTTCAATGGAGGAAAACCTTTCGTCTATGGTTGAAAACTCTTCCTCTATCTCGAATTTAAGTTACCATATTTCTTCTTCCAATCTCTCGCTTCAAAAGCATACACTTTCCTTGTTGTCCTTTCTCCCTGTAAGAATTTTTATCGGGGAGGCAAAATCATATACCCCTAAATCCCATCTTCGCTTCCCAGCTAGCTCTTAGCTCGGCCGTATCGCAAGCCAGTGATCCTAGATCATGTTGTCGGCTATACCATGTGATCCCATCATTGCCGTCGAAAAAAGGAACATGATTCTGTCACTAAGGCATGTATGCCGCGATCCCGTCGATGCTTCCTGAAGGCTGGTATGTCGCGGTCCCTTTGGACATCCCGACCGACTCCAATCGTGAATGTTTCATAAGGCTTCGATCACATGTTTCAAGTACACCGTGATTCTAACGTTACTTTCGATCGATCATGTCAGCGTCACAAGATAGTATGCCGCGATCCCATCGATAGCTTCCAGCTAGAGCTTATCGTGACTAGATTGTGTGATCCCTCCCGATAGTCGTTTCCCATATTGTTCAAATTGCGGACTCATGCACGCAATCCGTCGTCGCCTTGGTGAAGGAAGCATTGATTGTTGCGATCTCGTGGTTTTTTATCCCGATTTGGAACTCCGAAGTCGATCGTCATTTGTTTCCAAAGATTAATTGCCCTGATACCACTTTAATACAATCTAAGAAGATTTTTTTACAAAAAAATAGGGCAAAAGAATATTTTATTGTGGGAATATCAAACAACATAACACAAATACATAAGATAAACACCTACAATTTGAGAGGTAGCCAGGTAGGTGATCTCTCCCAAATCTGACAATTCAAGAAGTAGGTGATCTCTCGAAAATTCTACAATTAGTGAGGTAAGAAATCTTGCCCAAATCCTAACCCTAAGACTCAAGACAACAATCTCATGAATCTTAACCCTAAACTATTATGCCCTATTTATACGAAATAATAATAAATAACAAAAAACTAAATTTTTCTTAGACCAGTAATAGACAAAATTTCCCTTAGGCACTGGAGTAACAATTTAAAACCTTTTTTTTTTTTTTGGAAAATGATCAATGTTAGTTGAGAAAAATAGGAGAAGATGATTACTCAATTCCTATGTATTTGCATATCTAACAACTAAACTCCAAATTTTACATACATGCTTACACATGCATGAAGAGGTGTATTTCACATTTTAAAAGTTAAAATAGCGGTATTTTTTAAGTGATATGAAAATTTGGGTGGTTTAAATGTGAAAAGTAAAAACTTGACGTTAGATATGTAAATAAAATAGGAATTGGCTTGTATGTATGTAAATGCCCCTTTCTACAATTTTTCGATGAAAATAATAGATGCATACAGATGATGAAGATGATTACTCAATGATGTAACAGAGATCTAAAAACAACATTAGCGTAAATTTACCTGGATGAATGGAGCAGGTGTTTGATGGTAATCATATGCTTTTGGAAGTCTTCTTTCAGCCACTTGTTTGATAATGCTAACAAAACTGACAACCAGGTCCTTGTATGAGTTTACATCAGCGGTGATAAGATCAAAGAGGGGACACAATGCTGCACCCATGACTCCAGGATCATTATCAGAAAGCCTCTGCAAGAACCAAAAAATGAAGCAGCAATAATCATTTAATGCAAGAATTATTTGGACCAAGAATAACAAATAAATAACAAACTAATAAGAATTTTATTTGCTTGTAAATACATCTTAAAAAAAAGCTAAAATAATTAGCAACAAAAATTTCAATAGCATGCAAATGACTATGAAAAAAGAAGCAGATATTTTACAATAAAAACTTTCTTTGGCAACTTTTATGCTGTATTTGCATCCATTGGTATGCCTTCATAAACAATCTCTTGTTAAAATTTTTTTATGTCAGATAAACAAATTACTGAAATTTGTGGTAACTGATGCTACTACATGATAATAAACATCTGCAAAATAAAGACCAAATAAATGCTCACAACTTTCTCCTTCATTCAGCACCTTGTCCCCTCTATTTCACCTTTCAACTGCATGATACAACAAAGTACTGAATTTAAGGTTTGGATACCGTTTACAAGGAATCTGCAACCCTTAAAGCATTCAATGCCACTTCTTTAGATGGCCAAAAACACAATGGGATGCCAACAACAAATTTAACACCTAAACTATTAAACTTTGTATACTTAGAGGTTATAAGGGAATATTTTACATTACAAAGAATGTAATTTTCATTTTATTCAAATGTATATCAAGATCAATGTGTCAGCATTGGTCTATGATTATTTGCTATCTAATAAATCTTTACATCTTCCAAATAGCTTCAGCTTATATTCTAGAAGCCAAGTTAATCAATACATACACCCGCCAATGGACAAGCATGAAAGGCTCCTAAGTCCTTGTTATGAGTCCTTAGCTTAGTCTGTCGGGTAAATTTTAGTGTGCCCCCTGCTTCTGTCAACATGTCAATCAATAAAAAAACACATGTTGATTTTAAGCATTTATCATGCGAATGCACCGTAAGCACATACCCAATAGAAGAACAAAGGAAAATTTATGAGGCGGGGGCAGATTCTTGAATAATTTTGTTTTATAATTACTATATAATCCAAGCATCTCATTAATGAAGCTCATAAAAATCTAATTAGCGCCATCTTTCTCATTGAATATAGTTACTAGTGGAATTACTTATAAGCACAAAAGGTAACTAAATGTTGTTTGTAGCGAATAGAATAAACATCTCATTTTAAAAATTGATTTGACATAATCACGATGATATCAATCTCCTAAAAAAGTGTGTTGTATGATCTCTTATATTTTTGACGTGTATTGAACATGCAACTTAGAAAAGATACAAACAATTAATATCATCAATATTTTATCATAATCCCTCAATAACGAAGATTACATGAGTTTATATCATTTTCCTTCCCCAATCTCCTCAACCTCTATCCAGGTCCTCAACCTCGCTATTAAATTTCATCAATAGCCCTCCAATCCATGCTTAGAGAAAAACCATTAAAATTATAAGTATTCTTGCTTTCTTTTGTATATAACTAGACTCTGCAATCAATAATCCCAAACATCTCATTTTACTCAATCAAAATGTTAGTCTTTACAAAATAGTTTTTTCCTTGTTATATAGGAGCTTTGCACTACAGCAACAACAACAAAACCTTTATCCCACTAAGTTGGGTCGGCTACATGAATTCTTTTTCTCCATTGCATCCTATTTATTGTCATATTTTCATTTAATTCTAATAAATTAAGATCATTTTTTATACAATAAGCCCAAGTCATCCTAAGTCTACCTCTGCCTTTCTTAACATAAGTCGAATATAAAACATCTACTCTTCTAACTGGATTATCAGTGGTTGACGTTTAATATGACTAAACCATCTAAGACAACTCTCTCTAATTTTGTTTGTCACTGGAGCTACACCAACTCTATCATAGATATATTCATTTCACATTTTGTCTCTAAGTGTAAAGCCACTCATCCACCTAATCGTTCTCATCTCGGTAACACTTAACTTAGTTTTATGCTTCTCTTTTAAAGGCCAACATTTAGCATCATATAGCTTTGCACTAAACTTAAGAAAATCATCCCACCTTCACTGAGCATGAACCATCCAAGCAACCAATTAGGAGCTCCACATAGAAAAAACTTTCTACCCGAAGCAAGATGGAAGTTACTCAACAACATTAAGAAAGAAAAAAATCAAGAGAAAAATTGATTGTCTCTAGAAATGAAATAGAATGCTTCAAACATACATAATTTATACATTATGCCCTTCCAATACAAGCTAAATTATCATCATCATGAATAGCTTAACCAGCAACTTCAGATCGGTTTTTTGGAGCCTCGTTGTAAATTCATTTTAATTGAGTGCTGCACGAGAAGTTAACTCTATGTCAGCCACAATATTTGCTACATTCTACAAATCATTTCGCACAGCTTCTACTTGCGTTGCAATATTTGCTACATGTGACCAACATATTCAATTAGAGTAAAATAATTCAAACCATTATCCCAACCAGACAAGACATCCACAGCGATTCTAGCTACATCAAACAATGTTTGGGAAAAAAAAAGTATCTTAAGACTAAATACAGAGACAACAGCTCCGATACACTGCATTCTACCGTAAAGCCATTTTTTGTGCCATACCTTCCTGAAATGTTGGAGGAGATGAGCTACCGAAGCTGGTGCACGCTGGTAGAATCTGTGAAGCGCCATGATTGCCTTCTTCCTTACAGCCTCCTTGGAATGGCCAAGAAGCTCCACTACCTGCGGCAACACGGCTGGGATGGTCTCTTCGTTGATGAGTTTACAAACCGCAGTCAGGGCTGCGCAAACCACCAAATAGTTGTCAGACCTCAAATCCTTCTGTATGGTGTTCACGATGAGGATGATGAGATCATGATCCTCATTTAAGAAGAGCGTGACGGCAAGATAACCAGTTCTTTTATGGGAAATGTTGTCATCATGAGTCATCTTCACAGCGTGAATATAACCAAAGGAAGCATCATGACCGAGCATCTCGACATAGACCAGGCGTATTATGTACTCCTTCATCTTGCGGCGAGTAACGTCCGGTTCCGCTATCCGGCGTTTTAAGGTCTCGATCTCACGGAGGACGATACGGTCCTCTTCTGCCTTCGAGCGTGCCTCGCCAATGGACTTCACTAGGTCCAGGAACTCCTTAGACTGGCCCCAGCCTCCCTGCGAGCCCATTGCGAGCTCCCTCCCGATCGTCTTCAACTGCTCCATCCTCGATATACCAACAACCGTACAGCTTCAATCCGACGAGGTCCAGATCTAAGAAGAAGGATAATAAAAAATTAAAAAATATAAAAAAAGAGTCAAGAAGCAAAATTAAAACCGGAACCGGAAACAATTCGATACCTTTGATGCGAAGCTATCCAACTGCGCTACAAAAAAATCTCAAAGCCAATTCGTTTCTAGGTCGGTGTATCGAATAACTCGACCCCTCCGTTCCATTCCCTGCAAATTATACCTACCAGCCGATGCCACTTCGGTAACGGCCGTGAACTGTCCCTGCGGCACCGCAAGCTCCTGGACCAATACCTTAAACCAATAAACTCTATCACCTCAAATACCTACGCCAACTTATCCAGTGCTACAAATCCTCTCCCCCTCGCCGCCGATCTCGTCCGCCGTCCGCTTTTAACACACTGCCCTAGCAGCAGAGGATCGGAAATAAACGATAAAATGGGGAAGAGGGGCACCAAACAGGGACAAGAAACTCGTTTTTTTTTTCTTTCTAAAACCATCTACTCTTCAATTTTAACAAATGAGATTTTAGAATTAATGAATAAACTAAAGAATATAACAAGAGAAAAATCAATCATTCACAAATATATAATTCATGATGATTCCATAAAAAATGATTATATTTATTTTTAGATCGACAACTTCGAAGCATGCATATTCGCTACACGAATTCGTGAGAGAAAAAGAGAACCGAATGACTTGTAATGATTTAGGATTAGTTTAAGAGGACGTCTCATTTTAGTTTCGTCGTAGAGACAGTCGAGAGAATGTTGTTGTTTGTTTGGCTGATTAATTTTTATGAGAAGTGTGTCTAATTGAACCTCATTCATTACCTCTTTGAGATTGCGAAGTCCGACCTTCATTCTACTTTTTCAAACTCCAATTTGCTATTTTCAAAATGAAAAAGTCCAAAATGCCCTCAAATGTGTCTCCTTCTAAGACTCCACAGAGGCTACTTCGAAGGCGAGAATTGAAGCAATCTGTACCTGAGTTCTGCATGTGGAGTTTTCAATGGTTGCAGTAGATTTTAGGTTTTAAAATATTTAATTTTTATTCGTTATAAAATTTATTAAAATCCCAACTCATATAAATGTTTATTAACTTATTAGATTTTGTAGAAGTTGGATATTATCATGTTCAAGAACACATAACACGTCGAGTATAACTGAATGAGCTTTAATAAAATTCTATAAATAATTTATCAGTGTTAAAAATGAGGATAATAATTTAAATCTATTTAGGCTATTATAATCTTTTATATTTAAAAAAGTTATAACTAACATCATTAAAAAGCATATATATTTTTTCAAATTCAAACGTTAATATTGACTTTAGCAATTATCACTTTATATCGCTATTTATTTTAAAGTTATTTTTAAACGAGTTTTTTTAAAGAAGAAGCTCCCCAAAACAAAACCTTAATATCAGTAATAGATTTAGGACAGAAGGCTAAAAACTTTGGAAACTTGAAACTTAAATAGTGACATCCCAACATTTTGAGAGGACTATGTCTATGATCCAGAAATGATGCATATGCAAACAATTTACACATGACATTAAATACATGCAATATGCATTACATTTTTCATTGGAATGTTCTACAAGAGATCTTACCACCTAAAAAGGAATAATTTTTAGAGCAAAGAGAAATAATAATTTACAAGGGATATTTGACATTGGCAAGGTATGCGAGAAATTGATGTTGCAATAGGGCTTTATGCACAATAGTATGGTTGTAATTTCAAGCAAGTGTTGTAGATGATCATTGGAGATATACTCAACTTTTTCAAGAGGGCGGCTTTAGAAACACTGAAGCTCATTTATGGTGATTCTAGTTATGCCAAAAGAAATACAAATGAGAATATTTATCTAATGACTTGTGAACTTTTTTCAGTAGAATTGATCGATCCCAATAGATTTCTTAAGTATAAATGTGTTAAAAAAAGATATGATTACTCAGTTGTTGATGTTCACTTGTTCATCCTAGAGTGACACGAGGATGATCAGGATATCATTCTAAAGTTTGAATATGGTATACACTCTCCCTTTTGTTTTGAAGCTTATAAATAATTTATGGATTTTTGAAATGAACCTTCATTTCAAGTAATCTTTCTTATTTAAATTTATAAGCTTATATAAAATTTCTTATATGATAATAGTTCTAAAAGACAGCTTGATTATAAGCATATTTGATTGAGTAAAGGGTTTTGTCTGGAAATGATAAGGCGAAGGAAAATGCTCAACAAAAGTTAAGAATGATCATATCAGAGAGAAGGGGTGTCTAGTGATGTGAAAGTAATAGACATCAAGTCCTTATTAGAGACAAAAAAATCACCAAAGAAGGGAGAGGAGAAAGGCATGGATCCTAAAAACAAAAGTGAAAAAAGTGGCGTTTGTTGGGAATTGATTGAGGTGGTCAGTTCATCTTAAGGGTAATAGATCTATCCACTTATATGGATGCAAGAATAGGCGTACATGTTGATGCTTCAAATAAAGATATTATTGTAAACAAGAACAGTTAGTTCTAACTGTAGAATGACTAATGTGAACATTGAAATGTAATTTCATGTATTATAAAAAAAAAGAGAGCTAACTAGCGTGATTTATTCAAGAGTTTCAAATAAAGAAACAAAATTGAATGGAAGAATTAATGAAGGGGTTTATAAGTGGAACAATTAGCCAAAATAATGTAATTTAAGTAGGAATGGAGATCTATTGATCGATCTTCAGGAATGCTCAAATTTATCACAACTATTGTCTATGTATCTTTCATGATGAGGAAAGAGCATATCTTTCATGAAAGTCAAACTCGAAGTAAAATTCATATTGTTTGATGGTGTTTCTAAAAAGAAAGCAAGATAAAGCTAAAGACAAACCATTATTATTTATTAACATGGATGAGTACAAAATGCTTGAACCACCTAACACAAGCAAGGGTGTGCACGAACACACACACACTTATCAATGTGTATATATATGTACATATATATATATATATATATATATATACATATATATGTGCACATATATACATGTGTATATATATATTTATATATATATATACACACACATGTATATATGATACATGTACATATATATGTATATACATGTACATATATATGTATATACATGTACATATATATGTATATACATGTACATATATATGTATATACATGTACATATATATGTATATACATGTACATATATATGTATATACATGTACATATATATGTATATACATGTACATATATATGTATATACATGTACATATATATGTATATACATGTACATATATATGTATATACATGTACATATATATGTATATACATGTACATATATATGTATATACATGTACATATATATGTATATACATGTACATATATATGTATATACATGTACATATATATGTATATACATGTACATATATATGTATATACATGTACATATATATGTATATACATGTACATATATATGTATATACATGTACATATATATGTATATACATGTACATATATATGTATATACATGTACATATATATGTATATACATGTACATATATATGTATATACATGTACATATATATGTATATACATGTACATATATATGTATATACATGTACATATATATGTATATACATGTGTACATATATGTATATACATGTACATATATATGTATATACATGTACATATATATGTATATACATGTACATATATATGTATATACATGTACATATATAATATAAAACAACTCAACATATATATGTACATATATATGTACGTAGATACATGTACATATATGTAGATATATATGTACATATATATGTACATATATATGTACATATATATGTATGTACAGCGTACTCCGGCCTGTTGGTTAGTATTCACGGTCTAAGACCCTTCAGGTCAAAGGTTCAAATCCCCTCTGACATGTTTGACCTTAAGCAGTTGGTACTCGAACCCCAAACCATAGGGGACTTACAACTGATAAGCAGATGCCCGACCAACTAATCTGAGTACGCGGTGCATGCATATATATATATATATATATAT